CGCGGTTCGACGCGCAAATTCTTCACGCCAGAACCGGTGGAAAATTGTCCCCGCTACTGGTTTGTGGGCGTTTTAACGCACTCGCCATTATTCTCCAAAAAAGCGAGAAAAATCCCCGGTCTTTCAAGTGATTGATTGCCTTCGGTGGAATCTTTCAAGGTAACTTCAGCCCGTTGTAAAGATGGCTCCTTTGCTCTTCGGACGTCGTATTTCGCACCTCCGAGCATCGTCCTATTCAACGCTCATTTTATCTGCTCTCCATCACACGAGGAAAAAAAAAAACGAGAAACCCAGTCCATCAAAATAGGTTTAAGAACAAATCCATCAGCCGGAGTTCTTTACGTGCCTCTCCTCTTCTACTTGGATCGTCATCCTGATAAAAAAATTTACCTCGAAGGTTCCAAGATTCCGATGAGTGGATCTGATGAATAAATCAACAGACTCCTTCAAAAATAGAATAGATACGGGTTGTCTCGAAAATTATGTGATGAATTTTTTGAAAAATTTATTTCAGGAAGTTTTCACATATAATCAGTAGGAAATGAAAGAGAAGCCCAGTCAATCAAAATGCTGTAGGTTTAAGAACAAAGTCATCTGCTGAAGTTCATTTACTTTCCTCTCCTTTTCTCGATTGTCATCTTGAAAAACAGCCATGTCAAAGGTTCCAAGATTCCGATGAATGGATCTGACGAATCAATAAAACAACACGCTGAAAAAATGGGTTCTGTCGAAAAATTTCTTATGAATTTTCAAAAATTTACTTTGGGACATTTTCACCTAAATCACGGTTCCGAGGATCTCGTGGGATAAGTCCGAGAGTTAGAATGAAATCATTAAAATCTTTTTTTTTCAGAAATGTCCTCCTTCAAAAGAAATTTTTGCTACCGCGTACAAGTTCACGACATAATTGCGGCCATTTCTTGCGCGCACTATTGTTCTCTATACAGCGTGCAAACCATGCCCCGAAAAATGAAATCGTCAAGAAGGTACATCGATTGGAGATAGCAACTGATGCGATCATCACATGATTCCAATTTACAGAAAATTTGAAATAAGACGCGGATTCGAAAATAATACCGTATCTAATCAAGTACCCTGCACAATCATGTCCCCAAACATGGGAACCAAAAATGGGTTGGGCATCGTACTCAAGTAGAGTACGAAATTTCCCTTCAAAATTATTATGCACGCACGCCATCCTTTGAACAGATTGAAGAAGATTTTAAAAATATAATCAAATTGATTGGAATTAAATTCTTTTGTTCGAGCGTAACACGAGAATTTTAGCGGTTGTCGTTTTCAAGCAGTGAGAATTTTTTCACTCAAAACCGGAGATTGTGTTTTTATAGAGGGATACATTTTCACTTGAATTTGCTGATGAAAAAAAGCCATAGTTCCCCCTTATGCCGGTCACAGGAGAAAATCCTGTAGGCTCGAAAATCTCGCGGGGCTTGCAAACCCCACAACCTGACTTTATGCATCAGAAATATATTTTTTTAACTAGACCAGAAGATGGTGTCTCAACGAATTCGGAATTATTAAACAAGTATAAATTCAGTTTTGGAGTCCAAATTTCTTTCATTAGGTTTCTATGTCCTCAAAATCATTGTGAGGCAACACTTGGAACGTAGTTGGTATTTCTCAGCTTTCAAGAATGCTGGAGAGACCAGATCGATTGATTTCTACCGTCTTTGTATCAGTGTTACAACATTTGATAATTTCCAAAAACAAAAATCGATCTGTTAAATCTGGGGGTAGGCCCTGCGATTGTTTTGGGTCTACGGGATTTTCAAGCCGCGGGATTTTCTCCTGGAACCTTTACGCATGGGTGCATGGTACTCAAGTGAATATAGTATTGTCTCTTGGGTGTCTAAAAAATTCTGAAGTGAAGAAAATTCCGATGTACAGAAAATGCTGACTGGGCGAAAATACTCGTTGGAAAAATACCTGCTCAGCAGATTCCAAAAATTACTTCTGTAAATCCATCAACCCTCTTATAGGAACCCCAGAACCCTCTCCTCCAAAATAAAATAAAATAAAAGTGCAGTAAAAAAAAAGGGACTGCACTAACATTCCGGTTATGCTAGGTCTTGCTTCTTTCCTAATTTCACTCTGTGCTGCATAAGTGATCTTTTCTGAATTGCTCGAACAATTGGATTTTTTGCATTCAAGAAGAATATTTCGCGGGTGAATGTTGAATTCATGCAGTCTTGAATTCAATTTAATTCATCAGGTATCTATCTTGAAAGCCTTGAAATCTATGTATTATGTGAAATGTATTGAAGTTGTAGGATTTCAAGAATGCTGGAGAGCCCAGATCGATTGACTTCTGCCGTAATTATATCAGTGTCACGGGTCAAAGAATTGACCTGTCACCTCTGGGGTAGGCCCCGCGAGATTTTCGGGCCTACGGTATTTTCTCCTGCACCCGTACAATACTGTTACAGTACACGCGGGATTTTGAAAGCCAACTGATGACTGAAGAGACGTTGAATCGAGCGTTGAATTCGACACGGGCCGAGTGGGATAGCGGTCGCAAGTCATCGGTGGCGGCGAAAGAATCCTAGGAACTCGTGTCGCGGCGGCTAATGCGACGGAAGGAGGGGTAAGAAACGGAAAGTGTTCCGGAAGTGGGGAAGCGAAGAATCGATGGCATGCCACGGGCGGCCTGGCGAGAACACAGAGTCCATCAACGTCATTCGCTATTTTTTTCGATTAGCATGGGGACGTTGTGACCCGTGCCTTTGCGACAGGGCATCGGAAATTTCCTCCGGACCGCGACTGGGGATTTTTTTCTTTTTCTTTTCCACGGTAGGACGCCGGAGCGGTACTTGCCACCAGGAAGGAAGAGACTGCGGCGTCGAATTGACATGCACAACAGGCATCAGGCGGTTGTCACTTTGCCAAAGGCGTCTGTGTCGGACGAGGGAGTCTTTTGTGCCTCGGGGTTGCCCAAGTGCGCCGCCCAATTTTTTTTTTTTGTACCCGCGACAGAAATTAAAAAGGCGCGAGCGGAAGCTCTTCCCCTGATGGCGGGAGGCTCGTTCCCTTCAAGCTGGTCTATGCGAAAGTTTCCTGTTCATCCCGGAGATCTCAGGAAGTAACTTTCCTATGCCATTCTACTCGAACTTCCTCATGCTCTTTCCGAGAAATTTCGTTTTCAATTTCTCCCCTCCTCCAGCATTTGCTATATACATTTTTTTTTGCAAGCAAACGAGCGAGGGTTTCTTCAATTATACGCTGCACAAAATATTTATCCACAAATACAGCATGAGTGCGATCATGCGATTATTATTTTTAAGCCTCACGTATAATATTCAGAATGAAGCGCGTCGAGACAGAAATAAAAAAATGCGTGAAGATAAAAGTCCAATCTTAATAGGGATGCAAATATTTTTCAGGTGACTCGCGATACCACGAAGTCCTGCTTATAACGAATTATTTCTCGTAACGGCGTTTTTTGTACAATGACGTTTTGTAAAAAATTTGTCTGCATCCTCTACTTAATTTTGCGTAGGCGGCACAAGATGAATAAACAGCAGGGAACAATGAAAATTCTCCTGTGAGGATAATGGAGCTAAGGACAAAATACGCCACATTATTTGCGAATTTATGCTTGAAATATGAATTCAGCAGGATACAAATAAAGGATTCCTGGTTACATGTATTTCCTGTCAATTTAGAATGTCGTTATTTATGCCTGTTTAAAATAGTTTCACGCATACTCTATTGTTTAATGGGAGAAAATTCCTGTGCAGTGCCAAAGAACCATCATATACTTCTGTGAATAGTTTTTCAGTATAAGCAACATTCCTTCACATCTCGAATAGTTTTTAGACTCTCAAAATTTACGAAATGCCATAAATCATGAAATAAATTGTGGGTCTATGATTAGTCAACTTCACAAAGACATCCGTGGACCGAAAATTGATTAACCGTTTCATGGAATTCTGTATTTTTCGATTTATTAAAGCAGAATATTTATATAGATTTTGATTTAAGGGATACTAAAAAACCGCAGGTTTTTAAAGATACTCAATATATATTCACATGATGGCACTCATGCTGTATTTGTGGATAAATATTTGGTGCAGCGTATAGTTGAAGAAACTTCGCTCGTTTGCTTTCAAAAATGAAAAATAAAAAAGTAAATGCTAGGGGAGGGATGAAATTGAAAACGAAATTTCTCGGGAAGAACACTCAAAAATTATGCAGGGAATTTTACTGAAAAGATTGTCTTCGGACATGATGTCTCCATAGGTCGGGGAAATTTACTACACGTTAACTCTCATCACCATAACAATCTTGTCTACATTAATCTGCTGTGTATAAATTTTTTTTTTTACCATGCAATAAAGTTCTCTCCGCACGATCAAGGGGTTCTCTTTAACGAAATCCTCTCTACCAAAATGTTCTCTTGGCCGCTTGAGTTTTGTTGTACAGAGTCCACCTGCATATATAAAGAATACCGCTCTGTGGAAAAAGTCTTCTCGAAAAAAAAAGAGTCCCCGAGTTTGTGTTTACCCCTTGGAAGCAGACCCTTTCAATTTCACTCACATTTGGATCTCTTTTGACGCCAAGTACCCTAATATCCGCGGGGCTTGGGCGGGCAAAACCTTTTGATTTGCGCGGGCGAAAGCGTCAAAGCGTCGTCCTCCGATCACCGCTCAATGCGTCGATTTGTGGGTGGCATGAAATTTGGGCGGTGATCGATTTCCGCGCGAGCAGTTCCCACGGAGATGTAATGCGTGCGAAATTTGCTCTCGAGTGCCTCGGTTTCTTCATACTGTATTATTTTTATTTTTTGCCCGGTGGTAGGGGGGACACGAAACCCACAGGCCCTATCGTCGCGGCATTTTCCTTGCCCATCCGAGCCAACTTCCCGCAACACGCTTCACCGGGCCAAAAATGACACGGACACAAGCAATCCGTGATTGAAACTCCATTAAGCGGGGGGACGTGGGCTCACAAAGGCTCCTTGGGGGCATCTAATCCGAAAGATGCGTCCTGTTCCCGCCCGGGGTTTCTTCCTTTTTATTCCCCCGGGCTCCGTGGAGGGCCGGCTAACATGCCAGAAAATATCCCGGCATTCATACCCTCTGAGGGGATTACCGTTCATCAATCGAGCAAGTGATTCCAAGGTTTTGACCCCGCCTGTTTGTAAGGGACGATTCGACAGGAAGGCGTCTTCGCCTCAACGGCCGGCTTTCTGGTGCGAACATGCAAACTACTGCGTGTTTGCTGCACTCCGCGTCTGTGTACCATTTCTCTGCTTTATAAACAACGAAAAAAAGAGAAAAGATGAATGGGGGGAAGCAAAGCCGAAGAAAATCCTCCAAGGAAACCTGGCAATATTCTCGCTGTTTTCGCCATGGAATGCGTGAGATTCTCGCGTGTACTGTACGTTGGAACTCTGTTCTAGCTTCTTCGCCGTTCGCATAACACGCGGATTCAATGGAATCAAATTGCCCTCCTCCCGGAAAACCACGTTTCCTCTCGACTGCCTTTTTATCGGGACATTCCCAAATTTCCTTTTCCGGTGAGCATTTGAATGATACATTCAAGAAGCTTCAATGACCCTTCAGGTCAATTGCGGCGGAACATTTCGAAGGCAGCTGCGGACGAAATGTCGGTGTGGAGAAAATGACGCCATGCAGAAAGTCCTGGTAAGACAATGCCAGAAGTTGAAGTTAGCCCTTGTAGGAATTTATGGGTGCAGGATAAAATCCCGTGGGAGAAAAAATCCCGCGGCCCGAAAATCCCGTGCGGCCGAAAATCTCGAAAGGTCCGAAAATCCCGTAGGTACGAAAATCCCGAAAAAGGAATTTTCATATCAGAAAAACCTAGTTTGAAAACTACAGAAGGCAATGGTATTTAAACAATTCAAAATTATCAAAGAAGTCCAAATGCATTTATAGACGGCTTCTTCTTGAAAAATCATGCCATCGAAAGGTTAAACATTCTTTAAAAAAAAACGTAAATCCTGCGTTACAAAAATCTCTCGAGATACGCATCGTTAAAATAAATATTATTACAGCAAATCGGAAGGAATCATTTTTTTTTTAAACATTCGGTGCTCACATTTTAAAAATAATTTACCTTCAGGACGAAGTATGCATTTCTAATTTCCTTATTGATAATACAGTAGTATTTGAATACCATGAAAGCGTGATTTTTTTCCATTCCTGGTGGTACCTTTTTTAATAGATTTTACGCTCTTGTACGATAATCTAAAAAAATCCACTGTTTGCATTCAGAAGAAATTCAGAGGTTAAAGCTCCAAATGAAGGTTTCTTATCTTTCTCAGGCTCTTGTGAAACGTACTGTACTCCTAAATATTTAAAATGGTTCAAATGAAACCACAGACACATACATTTTTACAATTTCGTAATCTAGAAGATTTTGTTCCCACGGGGTTATGTATCTTGATTTTCATTTATACTTTTTCAATAATCGCATACTTCATAACAAAGCTTCGTGGCATTTTCTACCCTGTCCTCCCCGACATCGGCTCCATGATGAAATCCCGTAGGAGAAAAAATCCCGCGGCCCGAAAATCCCGTGAGGCCGAAAATCCCGTAGGCCCAAAAATCTCGCGGGGTCCGAAAATCCCGCAGGTACCAAAATCCCGTATACTAGTCCTGATCCAAATGAAGGTTAATTTTTTCTCATGTTTCCTTGGGAGAAAGGTGAGGAGGTGGAGTTGAGGTTCTATTGAGAGAGGTAATTCCTAAACCTTGGATAATCCTTAGAAGGAAACCCCCCACACTTTCACCATTTCATTTGGAAGGAAAACTCGGAGAAAACATTTCAATTTTTGAAGTATACGGGATTTTGGTACCTGCGGGATTTTCGGACCCCGCGAGATTTTCTGGCCTACGGGATTTTTGGCCTCACGGGATTTTCGGGCCGCGGGATTTTTTCTCCCACGGGATTTTCTCCTGCACCCCCGACATCATATCCATGCCAAAATTTACTTTTTAATCTTGTTGGAGATAAAATCACAACTTGAAGTGGGCTTATAAGGATTTTTAAAAAGTCGAGGAATGAAAACAAATCTGTTGGACCAGGTGAAGAATCCGTTTGACATTATGCTGTTGTTGGTCTCATAAATAACTTTTCCAGGAACTCGACGTTCTGTTCTGCGATATTCGAAAGGAACCGTGGATATTTTTCTCGCGAACGTCCCCTCTCGAGTGAAAAGAAGCTTTAAATGAATGTACGGTAATCTCGTCTAGCATTATAACTTTTCGCGGAATACTTCGATGCTTGAAACGTGTGAATAAGCTGACCATGTAATAAGCTTTCCGTCTAATGAACGAGTAGCGAAAGCAGTGAATAGACCGTGTACAGTTACAAAACCGTGAGTAAAGCCCAGTTCGATTTTTCACGCCCACGAACATTAGCCACCGCCCAGAATTCCGCTTTGTGGAAAAGCTGTCAACGTCGACTTTAGGATGATGAACGAGCGCATTAAGAAAGTAATCCCTTCTTTGCCGCCTCGCCGCCACGCATTTCTGGGGAAAACCTGAGATGAGCCCGCAGGGCCAATGACGCAAAAATTTCGGCACTTGCGGGGGCTCTCGTCGGGAACGCCGAAGGACCGTGCAGGAACCCCCCGTGACGTTGATCGAAGGAAAGCCGCGCGGCATTCCTCGGGGGTATTATTTCGGGACACCCGTGCTATGTAGCCGGGCAATCCCGCAGGAATCCCATTCAAAAAGCACCAGACGTCTTTGTCGCGTAAGTTTCGAGACGCCGGAAAACGGCTCGAGACGATGCAGTCCGTCAATGAGTTTTTGCCTCAGGTGGGATTCACTCGAATAGCCGCGAAAGTTTGTTGCGGGGGCGTGAGGAGACCTGCCTGCCACCCAAGTGCCCACGAACCTGGAAATATCTCTTTTCTCCGTCTGCTCATTCATTCCATTCCTCGGCCATTCAATAGGTCTTTAAAAAACTTGCGGCTTGGACAATTTCACGTCCTTTTTCTTGAATGAAGTTGTTCCTGCTTCCGTATTTCGACGCGTGAACTCAACACTGAATGGAATGAGCCACTCACGCACCCGAAGAATATCGATTGAATGAAAAATGTCAAGAATGCTCATTGAAAACACTTTGAGATTTTCATACCGCGGGATCATTCATATCCTACAGGATTTTCAGGCCACGGGATTTTTTTTTTTTTTTGTGGCACCCCTGCCATGGGGGTCAGGAGAAAATTCCTGGGAGACCTGAGAGAAAATCTGGTTTTAGAAAATGCGTTTTAAAGAAATGGATGTGCAACAGCATTTAAGAAGCGGCTCCATGATGAAATCCCGTAGGAGAAGAAATCCCACGGCCCGAAAATCTCGCATGGTCCAAAAATCCTGTATGTACAAAAATCCCAATGAGTGCTACAAAATTTTAATATTGTCTCTGGGTTTCCCTTCCAACTGTCTGGAAGGAATAAAAATCTGGTGGATTATGAAATTGTGAAAGTGCAAGAGTTTTAATTCCTTCCAAGGGTTTGGGAGGTTTAGGGATTACCTTTCTCAATAGAACCTCACCTTCACTTCCTCATATTTCTCAAGAGAAAGGTTAGGAAGCCTGGGAAAGATGTAGCCTTCATTTGGAGCCTTCATCCCTGTATTGTTTTGTATATAATAAACTGTGTACTATTTTACTGATTTTCGCAGCTCAACTTTCCCTTCTGAAGTAATAAACTTGCTTCAGTTTGGGTGAAAATCTTAAGAGTTGAAAATTTGTGGACTTTTTATAGATTTTTTATTTTATTTCCTATACATAATTTACTGTATATTGAATATTAAGATTGAAAATGAAATATCGCCATATATAACTGCATTCAGACTTCTTTGATAATTTGGAATTGTTTAAATACCATTGCCTTCTGTAGTTTTCAAACTAGGTTTTTCTAATATGAAAATTCATTTTTTGGGATTTCCGTACCCACGGGATTTTCGGACCTTCCGAGATTTTTGGGCCTACGGGATTTTCGGCCGCACGGGATTTTCGGCCGCGGGATTTTTTCTCCCGCGGGGTTTTATCCTGCACCCTAAGAAGCATGATATAACCCTCATGAAATACCTGAATATAACAGCATTTACAGTACTCCTAACAGTTGAAAACACAATACAAAATAATGTAAAATTTACAAACAAAGAAAAATAAGTTAAAACGATGCAAAGATAAATCAAATTCACCGGATTTCTGGAGATGTTGTCCTGCTTGACAAATATACCCGAGAATTCCATTCTTCTTTTTTCCTAGGTATTTGTGTATGCAATTTTGTTGGAAGTCTCCAAGAATTTTAAAATTTCGCAGTATATGCGAATTATATTATTGAGTAATCATTAAATGTGTTGGCATTCGGTTTGCATTTACCTTATGTTAGAATGTATTGTATTGGATTTTTTTTTTTTTTTTTTTACAACTGTAAGGGATTCCTTCATTCCTGTTATTACTCTATAACATAATTGAAGTCACGTGCGGGTTTATATGAAACTCTCGCCTTTTTAAAATTGTGTTAGAAATCCTTGAAGTTTGAGTTTTTAGTTATTATTTATTTGTAAAACATATCCGTCAAGAAGTACTCTTTCGTGGTGAAAATTTCTTTCTCGGCATCGTCTACCCGACATTTCACATCACCGGCATGCTTTCCACTATCGTATTTTATTAATTTCCAACGTTACTGGGAATTTTCCTGCCTTTTATTTTCTCCTTAATTTTTGTCTGAATCCATTAATTTGCATAATTAGTTCAACGAAGAAGATGAAGAATTAAGTACAGTATTCGAACCGCGATGTTTGCATACGTCGAATCGTAATTAGGGTACGGTTATTCAAATACCCGAATAGTTATTGAGCCCAGTTATTTCCTTATTTTCTATCTTTTAGAAGGATCTTCAGCAAAATTCCACAGATATTAAAATCCCCGCGGCAATAAATAAAGCATTGTATTCTGGTTGAAAAATGAACGACTACATTAAAACCTCTTTCAAAATTGGAATAATAAACTTGTGGGATTCTTATTTTAGAGTCGTTTTTTTATAGTCGAAAATGGGTGCAGGAGAAAATTCCGTGGGAGAAAAAATCCCGCGGCCCGAAAATATATCCATTTATAAGCGTTTTGTAGATCTTTAAAACCACTTTATATACTGTATTGCTTAAGTGCTGCAAAAGTCCTTGAATGAAACTGAGATATTCGTAAACAACCGGATACGTTTACACTTCAGTGCTTTCGCAATACTTGTGCTCTTGCTCGAACAATTTAGTCACATTATAATTTTTTCAGAATATTTCACGCATTATCTAACGGATCGACATGATTATTTCATTATTCTCTCTCATCCGCTGGATTTTCACCTGCACCCAGTGGACCAACTGGTCGTAATTATTCAGGATTCGGTTAGTTGGTAAATTTTGGTAATTAAATTATATTCCGTTGATGGATTTATTCCGTACAGCGAATACACGTGAACCTTTTTATTTAAGATGGACGCGAAATGTTCCCTTTCAGCATCGTACAGTATTAATATAACGTAGAAAGGAATGTTGCACTACTTTTTTATTTTACCGGTCACTCCTTGGACGTGGAAGTAATTTCGCTCAACATTCTTCAGAAGATTTATTCTTCACTCACTTCGTGAATGAATTGCGAGCTTGATGACGGTATGCGCGCATTTCGCGAAAGGAAATTCCGACGCATTTACTAGGAAATGTCAATCTTGTAGGATGTTGAAAGGTTACTTTGAAAATTTTAAGTGCACAACGACAACGTGTTCTCAGAGAGTAGCAAACAAATCCCTTGAATTATGTCAGGCATTTTAATGCTGAAAAAAACGAGGGGTGAATCTCTCACGGTTTCTCGGAGCATTCTTAAGATACCGTTTTGGAAAATACGGACGGGTCTAAACTCTCTCATTGTGCGGTTTCTTCGCCCTTGCCCCGAGGGCCCCCCGAAAACAACGGTGTTTTCTGCATGTTGGCTTCCAGAGTCGAAAATTCCGCTTGATGTGTGGGATAAGCTGAGGAGACAAGCCTTGGGTTCCGTGCGTTTCGGGCATCGAGGTTGTTTGCAAGCTTTCATCTGGGATTTTAGAGTCAATGGAGTCATCGGGAGGCGAATGCGTAGAAAGGGAACCCGAGGGACAGTTACATCCCATTGTCTCCTGTCACGCACTGTCGGCAATATCCCTGCAGCTTATCTCCCGTGAATGGGTTGCGGGACTCGACGAACAATGGCTGCCTCTTGCATTCCACTGGCACTCATTTATACAGATTTTGCGCGAAAAAAACGAATCCGCTCTTTCTTCCAGACTCGGACGAGCAAAATTCATGATTAATTGCCAAGTTAGCCTTTCTGCTCCTGCGACTTCAATGCATATGCTCCTGCTTAGCCGTTTTATTGATGCTTCGCATAAATGAAGAGTTGCTCATTTTTTATGATCTCGGTGTCACTTGATCGACTCCCTCGAAAACGAATGAACTCCTTCAGGTGTGAAATAATCGCGGATTGCTGTCTCCTTGGAATAATTTCAAAATAATTTACCGGAAATAACCTTATAATCGGATTTCTATCGCCTTCGCTTCATTCAGTTTCTTGAAAAATATCCATTTCCAAGTGTTTCCTCAGAAGAGAATCGTTTCCATGGCTTGCATGGGTACAAATGGAAGTCCTACAGCTGCACGAATATTGGAGCTTTCGAAAACAATCCTTGAATGACTTTAAATTGCTCAAAAAGTTTCAAATTGAAAATATATGCCTAATACAGGTGAACTCTCTCTCTCTCTCTCTCTCTAAACTGAAATTCTAGGGAACAGAAAAACAAAATTGGTTGCAGAAAGAATTTTGTTGTACAGAAAACCGTACAGCAATCTCAAAACAACACAACTGAATTCTAAACTCATTGGTAACATTTTATGTTAGAGAATAACATACCTTAACATAAATTTGAAGTTTTTGCTTGTGGATCAAAAGTTGGAAAGATAAAGTTAATTTCAAATTAATAAATGAAAGACAGAATCAGCCTGGGACTAGGCCGGGAATCCTGGTGGATTTCCTATTTAAAAATGGGGTTTTAATGTATTTCATAGTACTGTAGTCCCCACAAATATTTTAACACACAAGACAATTTTCTGTAAAAACAACAACTCAACAGAACTCTTCCACAAATTTGATTCTGCTGGAAGTTCAATCGCGAATGTGGTTTTGAATTTTGTTCTTTGGTGGAATTCGGGAGGAAAACGGAAATCGGTTTCTGGTTTTAATTGTTCTTCTATTGTGGTTATCCTTGGTGAGTTCCTTCCCATTGAGGGTTGGAACTCTTATCTGATTTCACAGTTTTTGTGTTTAATAATTTTACTTTTAGAAAAATTCGGCGTGCGCGGTTTCCCAACATAACGCATTGGAACATGTTAATGGCCTATAAACGTGTATTCAATCGAAAATTCAGGCAACCAAAAAATAATGTGTCATATAGAGAGTATTTCGTTGTAGAGGACCCGTGTAAGATGGGTAGAGAACTCCTGCACGATTAAAAAGAAAACAAATCGTTTTACAGATAAAAAATTTTTGTAGACAATATCTTTGTGACGAGAGAATCCACCTTGTACTTCATCACGACGCGTGAAACACATTTTCGGAAACGACGAATTGAAAACTCTGCCAGATTTTAGATCAATTGAAGCTTTCGTGATGTCGCTATGAAAATAAAAATAATGTAACATTTAAGAGCCGAGGTAAAAAAAAATTAGTCTTTTATATCCTCACATTTTGTGTCAGTGGGATTTTCTCGGGTTGCCGCTTGAATGAATTTGATATTATACGAAATGAAGTGAGCACCGAGGAGCGAAGGGGGGGAACTGTTGCAAGTTTCGAGCAACAACAAAAAAATCACTCCATAGTTGGATTTGGTTTTCATGTTTGACGGGTGTTTGCGGGAAGTTTAACGAAAGCTTGGAACTTGAAAATGCGGCGTGAAAGCTGTTGACAAAGACAGGGGGGGGAAATAGGGTTGAACGATAGTCCTCGGAGGTCCGGGGGAAGTGAAAAGCATTCAGCAGGCGGGGTTCCTGCGGGCAGTTGGACAGCGATTCGGGCGGCAAATAGGATAAAAATATTGGCACAAGGCATCCGGACACTGGCGCGGAACCAACAAACCCCCCGACGCTCCCTTCCACGCTGTTTGTGAGTCATGTTTGTTCTTCCCATGACGACAGGGATTGCAAAGCCAGCAGCGGCCGAGCGTCGTCGAGCTTCACGGTCAAGGACATCCTCGCCAACCAGGGACCGCATGCAGCCAAACCACGTAAGACTCACTCTGCTCTACATAAGTCAAGGTTGGGTGCAGGAGAAAATCCCACCGGAGAAAGAATCCCGCGGCCCGAAAATGCCGTAGGTACGAAAATCACGAAAAATGAATTTTTATATCAGAAAACCTTGTTTGAAAACTACAGAATGCAAAGGTATGTGAACAATTATAAATCATCAAAGAAGTCTAAATGCAGTTACTGTATATACAGTGAAATTGTATTTCATTTTCAGTCTTAATATTCAATATACAGTTACATGATGTATAAGAAATAAAATAAAAAATCTATAAAAAGTCCACAAATGTTCAAATCTACAAGATTTCCACCCAAACTGATGCAAGTTTATAACTTCAGAAGGGAAAGTTGAGCTGTGAAAATCATTGGAATAGTACACAGTTTATACACAAAACAATGCAGGGATGAAGGCTCTAAATGAAGGCTACATCTTTCCCAGGCTTCCTCACCTTTCTCTTGAGAAATATGAGGAAGTGAAGGTGAGGTTCTATTGAGAAAGGTAATCCCTAAACCTCCCAAACCCTTGGAAGGAATGAAAAACCTCACACTTTCAAAATATCGTAGTCCACCAGATTTTTATTCCTTTCAGGCAGTTGGAAGGGAAACCCAGAGACAATGTTACAATTTTGTAGTACTCATCGGGATTTTCGTACCAACGGGATTTTTGGAACCTGCGAGATTTTTGGGCCTATGGGATTTTTCGCCGCACGTGATTTTCGGCCCGCGGGATTTTTCCTCCTACGGGATTTCATCATGGAGCCAATTCATTCATTATTTAACCAATGAATCCAAGAGCAAAGCATTCATCCTGAGAAATCCTCATCGAAACGCGATTCCGTGAATCACATTAAACTCAAGGCACCTTCGGGTGATGGCTTTTGAAAGCTCGAGCTCGTTTTTTCAGTCACCGGTGTCGGGAGGAAATGCCGAAAGAAAAAACGACGTCGAAACAAATTCTACTGCTAAACCACAAAATAAGTCTAGAAATGAACCAATTTTCACCCAAAATGAAAGGAGAAATTTCCGCAGCGAACATTTCCTCATAAAAATATGATGCAGTGTACAAATCCACTCTCAAATCTAAATTATTCCTCCGATTCGCAAGAGGATCCTTGTGCTGAGGTTTTACATTCGTTTTCGAAATGTTACTTGAGTGAGAGGTCTCTCGTAAATAAAACTCTTTGTACGTTTCTGTTTTATTGGATTCAAATAGAATTTACCTGAGTATCACAAACCTTTTACATGACGCACCTTTATTTTTGAGCTGAAAAAATGTTTAAAAAATCCTCACGTAAGTCACGCGCCTCAGCTTTTTAGGGGCAATTTTAATAAATTAATGACAACAAGAGCTTCGAAGAATTGCACATATTTCATTATAGGAGCATTATCTTTCAGGTTTTGGTGATTTTTGAGGGTTCTTTGAAGTGTTCAGATGCAAAAGATATCGTAGCTAACGACAACAATCCTTGAATAAATTCGGAGAATAAATGGTGAAACACACTTACGTAATCGTCGCAACGTCTTCACGTCAACAATAATATTCATGCGAAATGCAGACATGGTTTATGAAATATTTCCGAATCCATTACGTGATTAGCTTACGTGTTGCTAATCCATTTAGGGATTTTAGTCAATCGTGTTCACTTCGTTGTTATTTTTCTGTTGCACAAATTTCCCACCCGGTCATTTTTTGTCCGCTGCATTTTTTTCGTGGCACTTTCAATGAAGCTGGAATCAACCGATTCAATGATCATGAATTTTTCCGGCATGTGTAGCGTGCCTTTCAGTTGGTTCGGAGCTTATATCTTGATGATAATCCGATTTTGAACTTGAAGAGTGCTCCAAGACCACTAATAACAAATTACCTGTATCCACGCAATCGAAAACGTTTAAAATAATCCGAAATTTGAGAACTTTATGAAACGGCACCATGAGAGGATCGATATTCCAGTGGAAAAAACACTGGGAGATGAAGTGCCATTCAGAAAACTGCATCAGTGGATTTCAATGTCATACCGTGGAATCTATCCAGTAAAACAAATGCAAGAGATTCACCTGAAAAAATGTATGATGTACTGCGCGAAGAAGCATGAAAAAAAAATGAGGAAAAAGCAGGGCACCAAAATCGACCAAATGACTGGGATACTTGTTCCTGAACTGTATAAACTTAAATAAATTTTGGAGCAACACCAGCAATGTGTAAAAAGTGCTGCGCTTGAACTGAAATTAATTTTATGAATGAATGAATGAACAGAACACTTTATTTGCCGCTTTTCAGAGTTCACAAGGTTCAATCAACATTTCCACAACCAAACCCCCTTCCCAACCAACCCAAATCCACTCAATGACATTTAATCACTTCAGAGCAGGAAATCACAAAAGGCTTTTAAGGATCAGATGTAATGCCAGAAAGAATGCAATGGAAGGTTAAAATTTTCCCACACCTGCTGAGAAAGGTTAAATCCTTAAATTTCTGTTGACTTAAGATGGTTTTGTGGGCTTTGTCTGACATTGAAAACAAAATATCAATAAAAAATTAATTTAAAGCACAAGGTTTTCAGCTTGTTTCTGTATGAGCTTTAGTTGAATGAACAAATTAGAGAGAATCTTTGATGAGAAATTATATAAAGGCAACAGTTTATCTTGATCCTTTAAGATATAATTTTATCACTCAAGGATGTTGTTGGGGCTATATTTAAATTAGCTGATACCCAGAAGGCGGTTTAAAAAGGATTCACGGAATAACCGACGAATTTTCTCTTCCGGCATTTTCCTCGCTGTAACAATTGCTCTATTGGCTCTTGTAGAATTATTCCCCTTGTGAAAGATTCCGTTGATTTTTGTCTTGTTCGCTGTCTCAGGAGCGAATGACACGCGAATGCGCATGAAAACTCGTGCGTGATTTCATGATCAACACAAATCCATATACAGTAAAGAAAATTGAAATTCTTCGGAAATGACGAGTGACTCCCGTCGACGGCTCGCTTTCGACGCCTCGAAAAGCCCTCAGTCTAAAATAAGTCGTCTTGCGTCCACCCGACAGATCCCCACTTCGGCTACGACGATTTCCACATGCCTTACGACCCGAGCCAGAGCAACAACCCGTACCTGGCTGGTTCGATGCACGACCATTACCCTTCCGGCCCATCACATCCCGGCGTCGAGGAGCAGGCTAACATGACTCGCTGGGGCCTGACGACGCCGACCACGCACTTCGAAAGTGCTGTGTCAGCACCAGGTAATTCATTCCTCGTTGTCATTCATCACCGTATTTACCTGTCGACGGCGATGACTCTATGCCCGGCGTAGGCGTCACGAAAACAAGGCTTCCGCTAAAGGACCAATCTTCAGAATATCTCGACACGGTTGCCCGACCCGTCTGGTATCGGATCCGTTTCGCTCGTTTCCCCCCGGATCCCTGCATTTTGAGAGAATCCACTCAACGGCGCGTTATTCGAGGACTGTAATTACAAACTACAGTACTGTGCAAGGCTGTGCAGAATTTCATCTGATTTTTCGCATTCCGTAATTTAATGACCCCCCTGCGGGAAAACATCATTATGATACTGTGCACGACTTGTATGCAGAAAACTGTAGCGGGAAAGACAATATTCATCAATCAAATGGCCATTGTGATACGGGTGATGCGAATTTTTCTTGCTTGATGCTTTTATTTGAGCGCATCGATTTCTTCTGATTATTTGATGTTGACATTCGTTGTGCGAATTTTGATGTTTTCCCCTGAAGCACCTCACGTGTATACGCAGAAGGATAATTTCCGTGTAGATGAAAAGGTACATGAAGCAAGTCTTGTGACGAATAAAAGCAAAAAAGATATAAAAATACGAAGCTTTTTTTTTTTTGAAAGCGGTTCCGCAAGAATTGGTCCCCAACGGATAGGGACCAACGAAAAAAGTCCCCCGGAGGTAGGCGGGTCAACAGGACCAAATGGATTAGGGAGTGATATGGTAAGTTTTTTGATAAGTGTTTCAATACCTTATGTTTACTGCAGGAAAAAGCACCATTGTAGACAGATGAGTGTTTTTTTAATCCAAATTATTTGTCATTTCAGAGGTTTTTAAAAAGAACACTGTAGCAGTAACACAATATTATAACCACTATTCCCAAGGAATGCAATATTCCTGACCAGTATTTCTAAGGAATACAGTATAGTGAGACCCCCACATGCAAACACCTTGACATGCGGACAATTCAACATAGGGACACTCATTTTCCCATGAAAAATTAATAAAAAAAGGCCAGGCATTAGGACACTGACTCAACATAGGGACATCTTGTGATAAAATTGCAGATGAGTTTCAGCCCAAATTACAAGAAACATATATTTCCAGCCCTAAAGTTGATGTAAGAAAAGTTCTTGGGCATTTCTCTCATCAATTTAACATCCATTTAGCTAATTTAAAAAAATAACCTCCAGCATAGAGAGACTTCCTTCTCTCTTCTTCACTTGAACGTCATTTTTGCAGAGAATGCCAACATTTCTATGCACTGTACAGAGGTATCAGTATTCAATTCCCCAAATGTCCATATTGNCATTTTTGCAGAGAATGCCAACATTTCTATGCACTGTACAGAGGTATCAGTATTCAATTCCCCAAATGTCCATATTGTGTTGAAATATATTGATTGAAACAGTTTAAATTGGAAGAAGATTTTTATTTTCATGGAATTATGATAAGTATTTTGTCCATAAAACACCAAAAAAAATTATATAATGTAAGTCTAAGAGAAAATTATACTCAACTTAGGGACATTTTGACTTGGGGGCACTCTTGATGCACCAATTACGTTTGCATTTCAGGGTCTCACTGTACTTCTGAAATTTTGAGGCTTTTCAGGTCCATGTGTACCTAAATGTTTGTGCCAACTGACCACCACTCCCACACCTGTTGGTCCCATTTCCCCCTCTGAGGCCTTTTTGCCGTGGGTTCATTTTCTACCCTGTTCCCTGGACCTCTTCTCTCGGGTCCTTTTTCGTTGGAGACTTATCCTCCGGGAGCAATTGAAAGCAACTGTTCCTGGTGCTTGTAACATGCTGAGAAAAATCCGAAAGATACTCTGAGGATATGTACGATGTGCGTAAAATATTTGAACGGAAAATGAAACTGCGACTCTTGGCAAAAATTGTAGATGTAGCAAAGGGCAGCAGTTTTTAATCTGGCCCATAGACAGCAAATTCAAATGCAGTTTTCAGTCTCCGCCCTATAAATCGCAAAACGTTTCCGCAATGATCATATCAACGGTTTCGGCTAATGCACTTGAACCTTGATAACTCGAACACGCCGAAGTCGAATACCTCCTCCCCACGTCAAATTTTTTTTTCGAGTTCCGGAATGCATTCCCCCAGAAACAAGGCATGAAAAACCTATTTCTCCCTCTTCCTCTAAAACCTTTGTCACGCGAATTTTCTAGGGCCTTTTGGCTAAGTGAAAGACTAATTGGGCAAAAGAACCCCTGCTGCCACGTTCAGGATCCTTTCAACTCATTTAAGAAGCAATTTAATTGGCCCAGAATACCTGTAACACCATTTACAATTTCCTGCAATTATTCTATGCTTCCCAGAAAAAAACTCAAAGCCTAACTCAAAGCCTGCCGAACTCGAAATCTCCACAAGTTGAACTTTTTTGCTGGTCCCTTGAAATTCGACTTTAAACTGTATTTTTAATCCCTTAAATCGTTTTTTCTTTCTTTTTGATTTCGCGTGTGGTTACAAGCACCCGGTGCGTTCGAGACTCGGGAGCGTTTGTCAATCAATTTTCTTGCATGGCTGCATAATTGCGACTTCATCGCTGAAGGTTAATCGATTCCTACAACAACCCTTGAGGGCTCGAGTAAACAGTATCGCTTTCGCGGACCGGGAAATCGTGCAGGCCGAGGTGCGAAGCGTGTGTGGGGGATTGATGTGTGTGTGGAACATGAGCTGCGGACACATCTGTCGGTTTTATTGGGGCAATAACTCGAAAAAAAGGCCCCCTTTCGCCTGCCGAGAAACCGAGCCGATTTGTCATTCCATGAAGCCCGAAGGTTTCGCGCCGAAGGTCCCCGTCGGGAGCGCACAAAGCGCGGACGCTTGACCGCTGTAAACCTGCCCAGGTGGCTGCAAATCGTTCGTCGACGTCACAAATCATTGTCTCGTGCCCACGTATCCCCGGAATGAGTGTCCCGGAAACCATGATGCATCTTTTATTCTCGCACCCGTCGATTCCCGGCGTGATGGAAAGGAAATAACGGGGCTCGGGCCTTAATCGAGCTGCCCATTGATCCCCACAGGTATGTGCAGTCGGCACTAGAACCCGTGGATTCCCGCGTGACACCGCTGTTCAATCGGATACTTGACGCACTAGCCTAAATGACGTGAAAGGCGAGGCGAAAATTATTGCGGCGAGGAGTGACGGTTACAAGAGAAATTGAAAATCACTTGGAATTGATGCCACGTGAACTGTCAAATACGAATTTGCTTTTCCTCGCATAAAAAAAAAAACCTTCCTCGATGGTAGAAAACGGAATTAAAAACCGAAGAAAGACCTTGCGATATTATCCCATAAATTTAAAACAATCAACATATAGTAATGCCGTACGTGTATTAATTGAGTACCACATATTTAGTAAAATAATTTGAGACCAGAACGTTGCATGCAAAATGTCATACTTGAGTACAGTATGTATGCACTTTCTTCTGTTTTTTTTTTGCAGCGTGATATAGTTGAAACACATTTAGTGAACATAGCAAATTTTTTTTAGATGAGAACAATTATAAAAATTGAATATTTAGGCTCTAATGAAACTGAAAGATGAAAATATAAAGCGAATAGAAATACAGCACACTTAAATTCAAGTTTCGCCTAAATTTTAGCATGAATTTCGTAAAGTTAATTCATTTTTGTGTCTTTGAAAACTGGGTTGCTAGCCTTACGCCGGGATTGCTTTCGCTCAAAGGTTTTGTTTCAAAAATACAAGTGGAGTCTTGATACTCTTGAATGAGGGCGCAAGTTACTAGCGTAAATAAGGTCCTTTGTGCAAAGTTTGAGATCAATACACGCAATTTTTCCTATTTTGCGCACATTATACATAATTAGGAACGTGGAATCCGTTACATGTTTGAATGTGGAATGCAGTTTTTAACAAATTATGCGAGAAAATTGGCGCACGCTGCATAGTTTTATTTGATTCTTCATTATCCTCAGATAACAGTACTGTACATCATTTTTTGATAGAAATTCCCGCGGAGGTAAGATAGTACAGTACAGTATATGAAAAATACCGTATACGAAGATTTTTCAAGGAATTCGAGGTGACTGATGACACAAATTTCAACAATGTATTTCACGATGGGGTGCCGCAGAAAACGCTTCGCTACTAAATTGCGCTGGAATTCTATGCCGTACACTAAAAGACTTGAAGCTCTCAAATGATTGTTTAATAAAGACCACTTACAACTTCCCATCACCGTAACATTTTAATGAATGAAGGACTGCAAACGTCCTTCAATAAAAACGTTTGCAAAACATGTCAGAAAATCATTTTTTTTTTAGAATATTATCCCGCCAGAAATTCACAGCCGCAGGATTTTTAAGGGAGAGTTTAGGGAATCGACCGTAGAGATACAGTAATTATTTATCAATTTTTATGCAGAGCTTTGCATAAGAGGAAGCAGTCTTTACAAAGGTTTACAATTGGTATGCTTGATACAATTTTCGAGGACTTCGAGTGGCCGTAACATGCCTGGTGCAGCGAGTCGCTTCGACTTATAAAGTAATTCATCAGCGTAGGGTGAGAAAAGTGCGTCTGTTGTGTTTCCTATTCAGAAAAAGGCAGAAAGCCTTGGAATCGGCGTCTGCTTTTGTTACACACGAAAAACAACGCGGTTCGTGTGATCGCGGTCGATGGTGCGGGATTAATATGAGCATCAGCGTCATTTAGAGACCTTCCCAACAAACATCGTTTGCATGCATATTTCATTCCCGCGTCCGGATTCGTGACAGGGGTTCTTTGCGACAGCGTCGGGTGTCATCGACGTTCGCCACACCCAGGCCGGTCCTCGATCTCGTACCCTGAACGATATTCCGGACCCAGCTTTGTATTCCCGGCTGTCTTGCCTTTGAGTACGGTGGAGGCATCGCGGGTTGCTTGTCGATCAAGTCGAGGTAATTATCTCCTGGGAACCGCGCAGGTTTGCCTGAGAGCTTCCAGGTCGTTACGGGCCCCGGTCACTGGTAATTTACTTTGGCCCACGTCCACTTGTTTTCTTTTTTTCCCTTTCCCTGACAGGCACTTCCAAGTACTACTTGGAAAGGAATCCGAGCAAAAACACCTTTGATTACCGCTGACACTAATTCAATGAATGCGCGGGTGTAGCTTTTGAGGAAGAATTCGGACCACGTTTTTAATGAACGGCTCTTCCGTTTGGAATACTGGTACTGTACTAGTATCTGTTATTTTGGAATCAAGTAGCCGCCTGGGATTTGAATATCACAGGCGAATGTCGCAGTGCAAAAATTAATTTAAGAACGGAAACCCTCGGGAATTTTTTCGGGAAAATTTTCTGTCATGAGCAAGTGAGACCCCCACATGCAGATGCCTCGACCTGTGGACAATTGGACATAGGGACACTTATTTTCCCAGAAAAAAATCAATAAATAAGGCCTGACATGAGGACACTGATTAAACATAGGGACATTTTGTGATAAAATTGCAAATACTTTTCAGGCCAAATTACAAGAAACAGATATTTCCAACTTTTTTTTAGATGCCAAAATTTCAGTGTACAGTACAGAGATATATTCAATGCTCCAAATGTTCTTATTGAGTTGAAAATGTATTCACTAATTCAAATTCAAGTGGCAAACAATTTTTCCAGGGAATTCTGAAAATTATTTTTTCCCCAAAACACCAATTAAAAATTATATAATATAAGTCTATGGGAAAACAAGACTTGTCTGAGGGACATTTCAATGTGGGGACACACTTGATGCACCAATTATGTCGCATCTTGGGGTCTCACTGTATTTCAAACCAAAGATTCCATATTTGTCATTCATATGGTTCTTTTACAATTTATGTCCTTCTATAATGTGGATTGCTCTAGTTGGGGAATTTTTTACGACAGTTGCTGCAGCTTTTTTTCTAATTTAGAATTTTCTTCCTCGCAAATTTCTTTTTGAATTATTCTTTCTTCTTTCTACTGCAAGGAAGAGGCAGGAAAAGGCAATTTTGAAGATGATTATTCAACAGCCAAGGACCAATGCAACCAAACAGCTTAGGGCCAACACACACTGTTATGAAAATCTCATCCAAATGATAAAAAAGTGGGGGGGGGGGGCTTTTGGCAGGGGAGGGGGATTCTTTTGAGTCTTTTATGTCAAAGAAACTAAGGCATTGCAATTATTCCAGCTGATATTCTAATGCCAATAACCCTATGCCTGAAAAATAAATATTGAACTTAATCAAAAATAAAAATATCTTGAACATGAATCAAAAAGATAGAACCATTTTTCAACACTGACCTTATTCACAAAAAATTTGAAATGCAACACCTTACCAAAATGACCTGATCAAATCTTCTTGAGAATGCCTGTTGTTTCATTCCTTTGATCCTCTTGAGAATATGCATATATATTTTTCAAGTACCTGTATTGCATTTGCATCATGAATTCATGATGCTCTTAAGTCTTAATGCTGATGTTGATAGTACATGAACTAGCTCATAAGGAGAGAGTAATGTTGCTCAACTTAAAATTACATTTTGTTCTTCATTCCCTCCAATTCTGATTATAGTAAAATCTTGCTACAGTGAACTTGTGGGGACTTCAAAAAAGTTATTTTTCAGAGTTTTTGACTAAGTGGAAGACTTTTTAAAAATTAAACCGTCATGCATTCAAAACCTCCCCTATGTGGTTTTTTCTGATTTTTTTTCAGTGTTTAAAAACTGTGATCTCCAAAACGAAGCTTAAATGTGACTAGCAAACATTTACTCTGAATAACAGGTGAGAACTAGCACTTTTTGTTGACTTATAGTTTTTCTAAGCAATTCCTGCATAGATTTCTAAGGTCGAATTTTCCAAAAAAAGCATGCAACAATTAAGCATCAGTAAATAGGGTTTCTCAAGCATACAAACCCCTCTTAATGTGAGTTTTGCTCTTTTCATTTTATTTCATCTAACCCCCTCCCCCATCCATCCTAACTCAGGAAAAAAATTGAAAGAGAGGATGTTCACGTGAATTGTGAGGAATTCTTTCTGGATTCCACCCTATGTCCTGAGAACCAGTCACAGTCAAATTTGAATGGGAAATTTGAGACTGTGCCAGCCTTCATTGGGGATTTTGCATTCAGAAATCATAAATTGTTTCTTTCAAAAGTTTTTTATGCTGGAATTGGCAAGTTTGTTGTTACAAGATTCTTATGACATGTACCTATATATGTTTGGTGCTGGGACTTTGAAAAAAGTTTGTTGCAATGAAACATTTTTTGTAACAAGATTTTACTGTATTTGTGCGACGCACTGTCATGTTGTACACAATTCAGAAACATAAATTTCACAGAACCTTAGGTATTTTCCATTGTCACTAGAAGCTAAGTATAAACGGGAGTCGTGCGGTTCTGTTGAAGGGCTTGGATTCCAGCCGAAATAATAACGCCTAATTCACAAGATGGAAATTGCTTCGAAATGATTTGCAGAGGCCGTGGGGTTTTTGTCCGGGTTCCCGAGCGGGATGCCGCCGGCGCAAGTGAGTCCCGACACGACGTGTCATCAGCCTCTCCACGGACTCGTGGACGCCTACCAACAGGCGTCCCCGTACGCCGAAAAGGACTCCGAGGACTGCGACCGCCACCAGCCGCCCTACCCCGTGTGCCACATGCAGGGGTTCCTGCGACCAGACATAAAGCCCAACATCGCAGACAGCACCCAACCGTCCGCCAAGAGTCCCGAAAGCGTCATCAAGATCAAGTCGGAGCTTTCTTCGTCCGGGTCCGGTCCGGACACGAACCTCGGCCCGGGAGAGCCGACGAAGAAGCGGAAACGCAGGGTTCTGTTTTCGAAAGATCAGGTGGAACCCCTTTCCTGACATTCGCTCGCACCACAGCTAAAGAAGAAAAGTTCAGCATCAGGATTTCCCTTCATCCATTGAAAGTCATGTACAATATTGTAGTTTTAAATCTGACGACGTTTTTAATGAAGTCCATTGAAAAAAATTAATATACTGCAATATATGTTACAATAAATACAGTACTGTACAAGATGTAATATCTAATCGAGGCCAGTTTCTAACGAGTGGAGGAGGAGATTCGGCCAAATATTAACTGGTATCAAATAAAAGTGAGTCTAAAAAATACATTCTTATATAGGGTGTCCGCCCCTGAAGATGTCGAACCAATTCTCAAGCTAATTACAATAATATTAAAGTAAAAAAGCCTGAATAAACGCTGAATTAAACGCAAAATCCAGTCTCTTTTTTTAGATTATCTGTTTCTTTTATAAATAATTTCTGGGATCTAATAATGTCAAACTTATTCTGATGGATGCCAGGTGAAAAATCTAAGTTTTAAAATAAATGCCAGGGGTCTCTATTGGAGCATATACAGCAAAAAGAGTTTTTTTTTTTCATTTCATGCGTAATTGAACTACCATATTTTTAAATATACACTCATGCATGCAAAAATTATAGAGCCTTCTGCAAATGTGATGAATATTTCCTCAAAAAAATGCATTGAATCATATGAATATACTGAACCAGAATTTAGAAAAGTTACTGTAAATTCATGCCTCCGTTTTTCGTCGCACGAAACATTGATAAGCATTGCATAATTTACGTGACGAAATCATGATTTCGGATGAACTCGGGTTTAATTTCTACAAGTTCACCGTGTAAAGGGTAAATGCCAAAATATAGTCTGCAGTTGTGTGAATAAAAATCCACTTACTGGGTGAATGAATGCAGATCCCAGATATTTCGGGATGTTTACACTGACGGAAAAATTGCGTGACGGGTTTCAGACTACGGAGTTGGAGAAGCGGTTCAAGTCACAAAAATACCTGAATGCCCAGGAGAGAGAAACCCTCGCCAAGGCTGTGAACCTGACGCCCACGCAAGTAAAAATCTGGTTCCAGAATCATCGCTACAAGAAAAAGCGCATCAACGAACCGGGTCATGTTAAGAAAGAAACAGAATATTTCCAGGACTCATCCAACGTGAATACCAACCAGCAACTCCGGCGATTGCCATTGCTCGCCCAAGATCGCCCCATAGCCTTATACCAAGTAAGACCGAATGTTAACATGCAAGTATAAGTACCGTATAATCAATATTTGAAAGATTGCTCAAGCTGGAGTGAAGAACAGTGAGAAAGACAGACAGAAATGGCAATAATGTTGCCCCATTAAATACTGTATTCAATGAAATACCACTTGCTCTAGATTAAGACGTGCGCCGGAGTTTTTCATTTGGATTTTTTTTTTACAAAACCCCATCCCTAAGTAAGACGAACGCGTGATTTTCAGTGCCTGAAACACTGCAATACTTCAAAAATAAGAATATCCAACTCATAAATTGAACGTGCATATTTTACCAATTTCCAATGGTTTCCATTAAGATAAGTTTTTCTGTTCAACTTGGTCCAAAATTTCCCATTAGAATCAAGTATAAAGCGCAACTAAATTTCAAAAACTTTTTGAAAAGTTTATACCCGCAAATAATTTTTCCAATCCAAAATCTGAAAAAAATGGTGTCTGTGGTACTCCAGTAAATACGGTACTAGACCTTATTTATTTTAAGATGCTGAAGGACTTTTACTATATGTGTAGATAGGAAAGTGTTGGACTTATTTTCTCAGAAAAATATGAAAAGTTATAGCTAGAAATGGAATTCACAATTTTGAATTAATTTTAATTTATTTAAAATGTAATGGTATAAAGTTTTACTCTTATTATATGGTTGATATGACCATCTGAAATAAACCCATCCTCAAAAAAGTTTCCAAGTTTGTGATGAGTTTCCTGAAACTAGAATGTGTTCTTGCAAATACCACGTACGCATCCAAGAAAATTCCGCACAGAGATTTTAGGAAGAAAAACGGGTACTTTCCTGTTACCTCAGTACCTCATTCCTAGACCGCACTACCATCCAGAAAAATCTTTAGGACGAGTTCATAATCACAACAACGTACCAGAAACTGTGGATTTTATTTTTCTGCATTCTGCTGAAACTGATTTTGGGAGGCAGTTAGGTAAAGTTAGGTTAGGTCCTGTTCTGTTTGTTACAAATATCTTTTTCAGCAGAATGCGGAAAAATAAAATTCACAGTTTCTGGTAGGTCATTGTGATTATGAACTCATCCTAAAGATTTTTCTGGATGGTAGTGCAGTCTAGGAATGAAGTACTGAGATAACAGGAAAGTACCAAAAAGCGTTTCATCTTTGGAATCACATTCACTTGGAACCTACTAAGATCACAAACGTTCCACAAAGTTTAGTTGGAGAATAAGCCAAATGCTGATGATGATGATGAAATAAATCAATGATGTTGAAAATTATTCAGGAGTATGTGAGATGAAAGTGGTCCACTTCGATTTTCGCTTCGAAGCAGGTCTCGTCACTTCCGAGCCCGATGGACTTCGGGCCTCTCGCTCAGCTGGGATCCGCGGGCATGCAGCCCGCCCTACCCATCCCAGGCAGCCCTCTCGCGGCACCCGGCCACCAGACCGCCAGATGGTGATCCCTGCAAGGCAATCATTTTGTTTTTTTGTGATATCACGCCTAGTAAACCCCCATTCACTACTCAACTACTGAGCCCTTTTTTCTCTTGTCCCATGAACCTTTTTTTTTTCGATCGCAGCAGTGTTTCGCCACCCGCGTCGTCTCACGTAGTGGAGCAATAAAATTTGTCAATTAGATTTGGTAATTAAACTACCGATTCTGTTGATCCTGGTTTTTCTTTTCAACGAGCTAGTGAGGCTGCTTTCCTCGAACTTCTTTATGAAAGGAATGCCACTTATTAACTTGTGGAATCCACTGAACCGCTGACTGGATCATCTAATATACAAGTCTTACAAACCTCAGGCCTTGAACTACAAAAATTTCGTTTTCCACCCGCTATAGTTCATTGCCCATGGCATTTGTTTATCTCGTTGATAGTTTCACAGAGTAACACGTGGGGTATTCATTAATTTGTTTCAGTCAAAATAAATACTGAGTGAAATAAAAAAAGAAGCGCATAAAAAAGGACGCGTGCGCAAAGAAAAAACAGCTGCTAATTTTCTTCACTTCAAGACTAACAGTAGCTGGTAAATTGGGGGTAGAAGAGGGATTCAGAGTTCCCCAAAATTATTACTGTACTTCCTTCGGAAACGATACTGCAACAAAAATGCATACATTATTTCCTCATTTTTTGCAATAAAGAAACTTCATCTTAACTACATTTTATATTGTTCATGAGGTTGTTCATTTTGTATTGTTCATGTTTGTTTCTCAAACTATATAAAATGCTCTTTTAAGATGTGGCAATACTGTACGGTGTTTGTATAATGCCTCCTGGATGCCCAGCACATGTACTGCAAATCTAATTTTTCTCTACTCAGAAACAGATGGAAAAGCCTTATTCATGCAACCAAGATGTTTTTCTTACATATGTGTGAACACAAATGATTCCGCATTCTGTGGATTTGCAGGTTGCCAGGCTGCCAGCAGCATGTATAGCATGCTGAAAATGCACGAATTGAAGCTTGAAATCTTTTTTAGTAGGATAAAAAGGAATGAAATGGGAAAATGAACAAATTGAAGACTAACTTGAAAAAATTAGAGTTACCTGAGCTAACAAACCAACTCGAATCTTATTACACTGGCAATTATTGTACTGTATATTAAACAGCCAAATGACAAGCAACAGCTATGAAATCCAACTCCTCAGTTTAGTCCAGTGGGGCCTACCTCAGAAGTGGCCATGGGCCACATTGACAATGAAAGAGCATAATGAGAGCCAGCACAATGGAGATAAAATGGACTTTTCATTTCCAACTTACTGTCTCATTCAAATTTGAAATGCGACATTCCATGAGGCCCTTCAAATATCTACCTTCCCAATTTTCATTTGTTAGACATACTTGAAAATCTTGTTACAGCAAAGCTCATGACATTAAATTAATGGTTACAATGAATTCATTTTGCAGACCAATTTTCAACATATTTAACGCTATTTATATATTCCTTATACTGTATTCATCACATTGTTCTTGTTCCTGCTGTGGGCCACATTGACAATGAAAGAGCATAATGAGAGACAGCACAATGGAGAAAAAACGGTCTTTTATAATTTCCAACTTACTGTCTCATTCAAATTTGAAATGCGACATTCCATGAGGCCCTTCAAAATTCCCAACCTTCCCAATCTACCTACCTACCCAACTTCCCTACCTACCTAAATCTACCCAAATCTACCTTCCCAGTTTTCATTTGTTAGACATACTTGAAAATCTTGTTACAGCAAAGCTCCTGATATTAAATTGATGATTACAATGAATTCATTTCGCAAACAAATTTTCAACATATTTAACGTTATTTATATATTCCTAGTAGATATTCCTTATACTATTTCCATCACATTGTTCTTCTTCCTGCTGTGCCCGATGGCTTTCTTGTAACAATATTTTACTTCTGGCTATTCCTATGTTGGGCGATTTTCACTTTTGGGTAAAAATTTTCCATATTAGCTCTGCGTGCCGGATGAAAAGCCTCCATGGGGCGGGATCCGGCCCGCGGCCCATATGTTGGGCACCCCTGGTTTAGTCCTTTAACATGTGCAAATAAGCCATGACTGAACATTGAAATCTTCCATTTGTTGGACGTGAATCCAACAGAGAGGATGATGTGGCTCCAATCCAGTACGGGCAACTGAGATTTCCCCATTTATTTTTTCCTGGTGATCCTCGAGCCAGAGTTTCCTTCTACTGGTCAGAGAGAAAAAGAGAGAGAGAGAGAGAAAAAAAAGAGAGAGAGAGGAACTAATGCACTTGGGTTTTGGACTAGCTGTCTGGCTTTGTTTGGCAGAGTCTCGAGAACGCAACCCTCCGTGCGGGACAGCGGAATCTGGCGTCCGGGCGAGAGCAGAGATCAGGTCAACTGAGGTAATAAAACGGGTTCCTGGTTTTCCTCGTCCGGAGCGTGCGTCGGTCAGCGGTCGTTCCGAGGATGGGCCCTGTCCACGTGCACCACCGGCCGGCATTCAATAATGGACGGAAGAGGGGCCCGATCCCGTCGGGTTGACGACCGGGTCTTTATCCCCTTTTCGCGTCCTTTGTGACCTGATATGAGGCGCTCGTGCACCCAAGGGCTCGATTGGTTGTCGGGTAAACACGCGCCCGCGGTTACGAGCAGTGGGCTCGACAAGATCCCAGCTCTGCCTTATTGCCTCAAGTGACTTAATTTGTTTGGCGTCGAGCTATTCTAGATATACGAACCAAAGAGCGGGGATCGTCTCACTGATTCGTTGTCCAGTGTTTATTTCAACCATCGCGCGTTCTACATCAAGTTGAATCACTCGTGGGGAATAAGAAAAACGAATAATATATGCTGTCTCCTCTAATGAGAAACCACAGTGTTTATTTAAAATTCAGGTGGTATCTCGCAATTTGACCCTGATCCAATGCCGAAATAATGTCAAATTGTGAGACACTCTGTGAAATTCAAAATTTTGAGTACAAAAATTCAGCAACAACAAAAATTGGTCAAAGCAGGTTGAATTGTGAGGCAAGGGTCAAATCGCAAGTCAACCCCCTCCTGAAAATTTGACCATTGAATTGCGGGGGGTCAAATTGCAAGGTACCACGTGTACTGGACTTTTCTCCCAAACTTGAATAGAGACTGGTGTTTACTTACTACAGTCAAGACTGCTGTGGGACAAGAGTAAAAGAGAAGAAAACAGGGAAAACCCTAGGGCAAAAATTTGAAAACCCCTTATATGGCAACTTTTCTTCAAAAATGACGCAGGAATGATTAAAGATTTGTGATAGAAAGGGTTTTTTGTATTTACCATGGAGGTAAAGATATTTTGGATCAAGATGATTCTCAGAATTCTTTACATCTCCACTTTTTTTTTACCCAGCCACGATTTTAGACTGGCATTTATTTGCTTCAAGCTTTTAGAGGTAGAACTCCATTGGAGACAAGGCATTTATTAGAGAAACTACAGTATGCACTGTTATAATGACTTATCAAATGAAACACACAATTTTCAACCTACCTTGAATGCTGTCATTTTTTAATTAGTCGAGAATATTTCTTGCTCTTCGTTTCTCTTCGGAAGAACAACTTTAAAGTAAAACATGGGAAGCACATTGATTGACCTTTCCAAAAATTTATCACATGCTGAAGTACAGTCAAACCCCATTAAGATGCCCCCCAATAAGGCACCAAGCTTGCCAACCACCAACATTTTGAATGAAACAAATCTCCTCCATGTTAAATTCTATAGAAAACCTTGATAAGATGCCAACCGCCATCTGCCAGTGTTAGTGATGAAACAGAAGTGCCGTTTCCAATTAGTTTTGTCTTTGTTACAATGCCAACAGTTGGGTAGAATTATAATTTCTGCCAAGGATCTTGTATTTGTGCAAAAATAATAATAATGATCATTTTGTTGAAAATTATATTGACCTAATCTTAAAATTTAAATAAATTGATGCAGCAAAATTTATTTTCTGAAAGAGTAATTAATTGATCACAGCAATACTCCTTGGAAAATTACTGAAGTTTCTTCCATAACCTGTATCTCTATGAATTTTGGAGGAAAATTGAGTATTTTTGATCAAATAATTAAAATTAAATATTCAATAAACCTCCAACCTCTTTAAACTGCCAAAATTGCTCTGGACAAATGATGGCATCTAATGGGGGTTTGACTGTGCATCCAAACCGTCTTCACCTCGGCGGAAGACAAAAATTCCAAGGAGTTGGGATAATTCATTTAAATGTTTCCTCTCCATGTAAAATCCGGGATACCTCATTTTTCAAGTGGTAAACCATCAAGGAAATGCATGAAAATGATTCCATCTGTCTCAGATTCTGGCTTCTAGTCAACTTCGCGAACATTGAATACATCCATCAAATGCAAATAATCAAAATATGTCACTTGAAGATGACCTTGCGAAGCATACAGACCAACATATTCCCGCAATGCCTTCGTGGACGTTTCTTGAAAAAATTCGCTCATGCTGCGCATCATGTCTTTTGTCTCCCTCTTTTTCTCGTGAGATCATAATTTTCCATTTCCGATATTTTTTACAATTTTTGTTTAATTTTGGTCGTTTGCACTTTCATTAAGTTCCTTTGAAAAAATATCGGGTCAATCCGGAATAAATGCAATGGCCGCATACGAAATTACGCAGGTTTGTTTTTCTTCTGGTCGACTTGAAATTTGGGTACGGTTAGTCAAAACGCAGGTAATAGAGTTTCTACTCCATAATTTATCGGCGAGGATATTTTCTCAGACAATCGACTTACCGCCAGCACAGCTGAACGTCTCCGCGACTGAGATTCACAGTTTTTGGTTTTTTTAATTTCGAACTCTCATTTTTAGTTTTCATTTCGATCTCGAAGGTTGATGTTAGGCTTCCTTAGTGCATATGCCGCCTTTGAGTTGATTGCTGCCTGTCGTTGTAACTTCAACGTTAACCGTGATGTGGCACGTGACTCCATGACCCAGCATATTTTTGACATTGCTTCTAGTCATGGAGGCCGTTGCACTGTTGTGCGATACAGAAAGTGAATGGTATTTTCTCTATGGATCCGTGCCACGTCATCCGAAATTTTCAATAATGCTCTTATATACTGTCTATCGAAATTATTCTATCCTTTCGCACCGCCGTATCCTCCAACTCGTGCGTTCCCTTCGAACATTTTTGAAATTGCGGCGAAAAAAG